GAGGATTTGATGTGCTTGGGATGTTCATACCAGTGTGCATTTGTCACCACTGTCCACTGCAGATCAGCAACACACTACTCTGTATGGAGCTCAATGCTTTCTCTGCCTTGCCTTTCTGTCTTGCTGAATGCTTACCATCAGTTTAGTACTTGCAGTAATTATTAACGGTGGTTGTTACAGCAGGGGCTGGAAGCAGAACTTTCAGTTCTACTCCCTAAAGGGAGTGAAGAAACATGATGAGAGGAAAGAGGTCCACAGAAAAGTAAGACTTGAAATCCTGAAAATTTTTAAAAATGCAGTTTTCTACTGTTTGGACTGTAGTGTCATTCTCTCCAGTTAAACCGAAAGACTGTTGTTGTTGTGACTATCCAAAGACTGTTTTTCCATCTTACATTTTGTTCTATGCTTCTGCTGTTTTCAATTGCCATGCCAAAGTTTCCCCTGTTTATTCTAATTGTTTTAGTGTGTCTGACTCTCATTGGCTTATATGTTTAGTCTTGTCCTGATTTAATATGAATTAAAATGCCAATGCCACGACCAGTCTGCAAATATGAGTCAGAAGAGAAACTATTTAAATAATATTGTGGATGGTACCCGTCTGGTTTGATATCTAGATCATACAGAATAATGCTGTTTTTGTTTTCTTCTACTATTGCCTGCTATTGCCAATGAAGTGTTGATTGTGATTGTGACCACAAATATGTTTTGCTCCTGGTCCCATTAAACCAAAAGAGTGTGGTTTACTGCATGTATGTACGTGAGGTTGTTTTGATCACATGAAGTTCGCGTTAGAAAACCCGCATTCTGCCACTGCAGCGCTACAGGACAATGAGAAAAGAATTTCTAATGAGAACAGTGTTTTAAAAGCAAACCACTGGGGCCCTTCCTTTTAGAAGAATTTTAAGACACGCTACCCTTTCTTCTGAATTTGATTATTTCTCAAAATTACATCTGAGTATCTGTGTTCAACTAAAGGTCCCTGTCCTTTTCTGTCTTGGTCATTATGTAAGATTCAGCACATTTCGAACTGTACATTTCCATTTCACACAGAGGTTACACTCCTTTAAATCATTAGTTTATTGTACTGAGTAAAACCATTATATGCTAATTTATTTTTTTCATGGTGAATCTGGCTACCATATGTCTAATGGTGGTTTGAAGCTTTTCGGTACCTTGCCTCTACAGACCTGGGAATGTTTAACATTTAAAGTCTGCCACTACCATTTCATGTCTGACCCTGACCTTCTAGCTCTCCAGTCAGAGAGCCAAGGTTGTGTCCTAAAGGGCCAACAGGGTATTTTACCAGTTTGAGTTATAACACAGCATTGTCTAGCTCTGGCAGAATGCCAATCAATACTATTACCTTCTAAGAAAGATAGGCTTTAGTGTGGAGTGATGAGTATGTCCATTAAACACAATGTATACAAAAATGTGACTGGCTTCCTCTGTGTAACTCTCACAAATTTATTCAGGCTCCTCCAAATGGGTGATAGGCATTTAACATGATCACTCTTGTCCATGTCTTTTATAAAGTGAAACATCAGCACAGATGACAAACTCAGAAAACCCCGTTGCTCCTTCATTCCAGCTGAAATGAACCCCAGCTTTAAATCCAGAATATGCAGCGCCCTCTAAATCTCATATACAAAGACAGTCAAGAGTTATGCTCCTGGAATCTAATCTTAAGCCCAATGTGAACATGACAATTTTTATATTTCATAAAGCTTGTTTATAGTTTCCTGTTCTATCTAGGCACAATCAAGCCTACTGCTTAGTCCTTTCCAGTAATTTTACCCAGATTTTCCTAACCCAACATTTAAACAATGTCTGCAAAGGTACCACATGGAAATTTTGGTCAGATTAAACGCTTGCCAGCTAAATTTAAACACACTGTTCTTATTTTATTAAGTGCCTGAAGTTCTGTGCTACTAACAGAAAGAATGAATCTATCCCTTCTTTTTCAACTGAAGCTGATTAGGTTATCACTTATAAAAAGCCCTTTCAATGCTGCCTAAAGCAGAGGCTAATAATGGTGTCAGATATGTACTTGTGATCGCATTTGTACACTTTAAGAAACCCTCTCAGCTGATTGAAAAGTGAAATGGCTTTTCTTCAGCCACTTAATCTCAGTGTAACAGCATCTGTCACTCCAGGCCATGGTGTAATTTCTGGTTACAGCATGGGCAGTTAATATGCCTTCAAATAAATGACTGCATTTCTATCATATCAACATGCAGGAAAAAAAAATTTAAAAAAGAGTAAGAAGTCTTCTTGTTTGTTTAAGTGTCAAGAAAATCCCAAAGCAGCAGTTGTCAGCAGCGCTTAAACTGGCAATTTTATTACTACTTTTCCCCCCACATTTTAGACAGACAGGAAAAGGAATGTCTTGAGGTTAGAGCACCAAGTTTTACATTTCACTGCAACGTCATAAGCATCTGAGAGCTCATTCACACATAACATCAAGATCAGTTCCACAGTTCTTACTCTGACTTACAAGACAACTATTCTCCTTGGAAAGCTGCCAGTATGTTCTGCAAATTACACAGAGCACTAAATCTTTCTGACATAGGTTCTGTGATCATTTAAGGGGCTTCATCATTTCTGCAACACAAGTCTATGCCTAAGCAGTACTCACTCCTCAGCATGTCCCTCTAGTCACATGTTCTGCACTTTCCTGACCCACAGGCTTTGGTATAATTGCCTGTTGATAAAGGACTTTTTTTTTTGTTGTTGTAGAATTCCGAGCAGGACAAGCTGATGCAGTCCAGATACATATACTTTAAATCCTACTTTAACCAAGTCTGCATATAGAGTATGGAGACGTGTTTAAAACTGTAGAAATCAAAGACTGATTTCCAAGTTTACTGGGACTGACAAGGCCAGCCAGTTCAGGTTAGAATTTGTATCATGAATTCTTGCAATTCTGCTTAAATTCTCCTGTTATTTCGTATTGACTACAAAGCCAGGGCTACTGGAACCAAGAGTTTTCATGAACTTCTGCATTTCAATTTTTCAAAGAAGTTCCCAAACCTTACCTATGTACAAAAAAGAAAAAGACAAAAAAAGGCAATGAGACCCAAGTACTTAATTTGAAAAAAATGCTCAGAAAACAAAGATTTCTTTTAAATTAAAATATTATTTTAAAAAACTATTTATATAATTAAAAAATAGCTTTGGGGTCCAGAGCTGCTAAATTTTTGAGGGCTTCCTATATGCACTTCTTGATATGTTTGGATATGAATACTTTGGGAGGCCCTCCATCTCTCCCCCTTTCCCTCAACCTCAATTCCAAGTGTCACACAAGATGTTGTACACAAGTAATCAACTTCCAACCTACTGATTCGTGGAGCTAACATTGGTTTCTTCGCAATATTAACCTTACTTTCTTGCTTTTCAGTGGAGACAAGTGTGCTTTGAACTGAAAACGTGTTACGGTTGACAGGCTTGATTTACTTTCATAAAATCGTTTCAGACTCCTCTGCGGACAGCGAGTAGCAGAGTTCCAGGATTCCCGTGCGGGTGCCTACGGAGCGCTGCATCCCTGGCCGCGGCCAAGGCCGAGCCACCCGGCCCAGCTGCGAGCACAAACCCAAGTCTCTCCTCTCTGCAGACAGACAGCTGATCAAAGCTCCGGCACGCAACACGTCCGAACCTCTCCCCGTTCCCACACTCATATTTCAAAGCACTGCTCGCAGCTGACATCACCCGGGCGCAGCCGCCCCCCATCAGTGCCAGAATCCCAGAATGGATAAGGCTGGAAGCGACCACAGCGGGTCACCCGGCCCAGCCTCCGTGCTCAGCAGGGTCACCCCGGGGCACACGGCGCAGGAGCGCGTCCAGACCGCTCCCGAACGCCTCCGGTGACGGAGAACCAGCACCCTCCGAGCAGCCGTGCCTGCGCTCAGTCCCTTCCCGCAGCCCTTTCCCCCCTTAGCCCGGGGCCGCGCCTGGCGCCGACCCCGCTTCTGCCGTCCTGGCCTGGGGAGAGACGTGACACCGGCTTGGCTCGGCCCGGGGCGCCGGGAGGCGCGGCGTGCCTGCCCCGTTCCCCGGGCACCGTGACGCCCTGCGCTCCCATGACCTCAGGGTCGCTCCGCCCAGTGCGGGCAGAAAGCCCCTACCGGGTACTAACCTGACCAGGTCGGTCATACAGGATCCCACCACCACAACCTCGGCGGCCATGGCGCCCCTTGGACCCTGACCCTGACCCGCCCGGGGCCGCCGCCGCTTCTCGGGTTGCCATGGGCGACGGGCTGCCCGCGGGGCCCTGAGCGCGGCAGGGCTGTCCCTGCCGAACGCCTGCTGCCAGGCCCGCCCGCTCCCCTCCCCTCCCCCCGTGTCCCGCGCCCCACGGCCCGCGCGCCGCACGGGCACTTGCGGCGGACGCCAACACTGGGCCGGTGAAGACCCCTCCGGCCCGGGTGGGAGCGGCGGCGCGGGGGGAGCGGAGGCGCGCACGGCGCG